GCTAACTAAGCAAATCATAGAACCATAGAAAATTAGGGCTGAAAGGGACCTCAAGGACTTTAAAACCCCCAAGGATAGATTCCACCACCTCTCTGGGTAGCCCATTCCAGTACTTCACCGCCCTCCTAGTGAGAGAGTTTTTCCAAATATCCAACCTAAACCTCCCTTGCTGTAACTTGAGACCATTGCTCCTTGTTCTGTCATCTGTCACCACTAACTCCATCCTCTTTGTAACCCCCCTTCTGGTGGTTAAAGGCTGCTAACAAATCCCCCCTCAGTCTTCTCTTTTGCACACTAACGAAGCCCAGTTCCTTCAGCTTCTCCTCAGAAGTCACATGCCCCAGCCTCCTAATCATTTTCATTGCCTTCAGTTGGACTATCTCCAACCTGTCCACATCCTTTCTGTAGTGGGAGGCCCAAAACTGGACACCGTACTTCAGATGTGGCCTCTCCAGTGCAGAATAGAGGGGAGTAATTACTCCTCTTGATCTGCTGGGAACACTCCTACTAATGCAGCCCAGGATGCCATTTACCTTCTTGGCAACAAGGGCATACCGTTGACTCATATCCAGCTTATTGTGCACTGTAAACCCCAGTTTCTTTTCTGCAGAACTGCTGCTTAGCCAGTTGGTTCCAAGCCTGTACTTCTTCCACCCGAAGTGCAGGACTTTGCACTTATCCTTTATTGAAACTCATGAAATTTCTTTTGGCCTTGAGTCTTGCTCTGAATTTACATCCCAGCAGCAATTCTATGTAAAGTAATGCTGATAATTCTATATAGCTGCCTATATATGCTCCAGATAAAAAATTACTGAAGGCAGCTATGGAAGCTTACATTCTTGCACAAAATCTAACTCAGCCTGTTCTTTAATATGCAAATTTGTCAATGATTTATGCATGGTACTTTTAGGCACCGACTTTCTGGAAACAACAGATAGCTTGGTTATTAGTAACTAGGTCTGTCAAGGGGATCTCTCTGTTTCCACACTGGGGAGGAACACTAATTCCATGGTGGCTGAATCCTGGAATCTCATAGCCAACTGTGTTCACTTAGAATTGCAGAATTCCTGTCCTAGCTGTTGTTGTAACATGGCTCTCCCAAACTTACCACCTGAACAGGAAGTAAATCCAGGCACCAATTCCACAGAACATTTCTAGTCAGCGTAGCATTTGAACACATACTTGAATTCCTATTGATTTCAACACGATTTAAAGATTGCACTTGCAGTTAAATGCATACTTATGTGCTTTGCTAAATAAAGATATATTCACACACACACTTAAATGTTTAGTTGAAATGGGGATGCAGTGAGTAGTGCTAAGTGAACGTGCAAATGACTATGAATCTCCAAAATTAATATATTTCTAACGTGCATTACAGAAGTGTCTTCATCTGTTTGGGATATACTAAGGCTTACATTAAAGAAGCTGTGACTTTAGCTAAAGCAAAGCACAGATTAGTATATACCATGATCTACTCTAAGAACCTTCAGAGTGAGGTGACAGTTCTCTTGGCTTTAATCTCCATTGGACACTACTGGTTTAGGCAATTTCCTAAATACTTAAGTTCTATTTACATATATGCTATCTTCCTGTTTAAGAGGTGGCTCCTACTATCCCCTGAGTGGGCATGTTGTTTAGGAAGCAATACCCACAGTATGGTTCATGCAGAAATCTCTTAGCACTTCAGCTAAAGCCTTAGGAAGAAGTCCAAAGACACTACTGTCCTTTTGAAAGAAAACAGCAAAAATGAATATGGCATATATTAAATGGATTAAAAGACAGCCAACAGATCAATCCCAAAATACATTAACTTTGAGGAATCATTCATGATGATGGATCCGGTCAAGTCCTGCAGGAAGCAGCTGTTGGCCCAGTCCTATAAAGCATCTCTATTAACTACCTGGAAGAAAGTATAAATCACTGCTAATGAAGTTTGTGGATGACAGAGACTTGGCAGGATGGCAAGTAATGATCAGGTCAGATCACTGATACAGAGCAATCTGGACTGCTTAGTAAGTTAAGGTACAATCAAACCCAGATTCTTTGCAGTGCTAGTATCCTAACCAGTAAGGGTTTGCAACCAGCTGTGTGTGGGCATGGATGTATTTTGATCGATTGCTGAGGTTTTTATTTTTAAATGCAGCACTTCTCTGATCAGCTACATGAAACTTTTGACACATTCCAGGTGACTGGAGAAGTGGTGCCCTTTGCAGTAAAAGCTGCAGCCAACAGCTGAGTGGTTTATTCTTAATTTAGCAATCACTGCTAACTAAACAGATTGCAAACTATTCAGACACAAAAAAATCTGGGTCCTACTATACATAACAAGTGCAGGATAATGCATCAAGGAATCCAGGTCAGTTACAGGCTATGAGACACTATTTAGGAAAAGGACTGGCAGGTTAGGGAACCAACTGGAGTATTAGCACCCAATGAAAAGCTGGGAGAGTAAAAAGGGGTAATGTAATCTTTGGCTGCAGTTATACAGGAATATCCATAGGAGTACAGAGGTGGCAGTATTCTCTGCATATGGCAATAGTCAGACTTCACACCTGGAAACTTTCAAGAGCAGGTTAGACAGACATCTGACTGGGCTGGTTTAGTCAGGCATGACTGTGCCTTCAGCTGTGATTGGAAACCAGTTTAAATCTGTAACACAACAGAAATTCAGGGCACGTAAACTGCTTCCAAAATGGCTGAAACTGGTTTAAAGTAAACCTGGATGGATGTAGTATCAGACTTAACTGATTTAGGTTAAATGGGTATATTGAACTTCTGTCCCAGATCCCCTCCAGATTCAAGTTAAATCACAGTCCCCCACCATCTCAGGATGCTTTGCGCCTCCCAGTCGCAGGATGAGTGGGCTAGCTTTGGCCAAAGCTGTCTGCTCCAGCTGAGCCGGGAGATATGCTTTATGTCCCCATCTTCTGGCCTGGGTCACTGCATGCATGTGGCTGCATTTCTGGAATCAAAAGTGAATGTCTGTTCACTTGCTTATTGGTTCTATCTACACAGCTTAGACTAACATTAGGCTTTTTGACTGCCTGTATTTAGCCACAGTGGTTATCAAAGATATTCTATGAAAACAGTAATGATACAGGATTTTAAGTAGCAACTAGTAAAGTTAAACATTTTAAGTCTGCAGGGGGAAGAGCACCATTCATCCAAGAATTTTTAAATAATTAGTTAAGGACATCTCTGAGCCATTTATGTTGATACTCAGCAAATCTTGGAACACTGGAAATCTGACAGGACTATAAAAAAAAGGTAATATTTGCTAATATTTACGGAAGCTAACTATGAGCTGATTATCCTGGTGTCAATCCTGGACAAAACCCTGCAAATTCCTGATATGGGAATGCAACCAGAGAAAAATGAAATGGTGACAGCAGACAGTACAAATCAGTTTAGTTTTCATGGAACACTGGTCTTATCAAATGGAATTGATAATGTTTTCTGAAGATACTGCAAGACATCTTGATAAAAAGATATATACTTTATTTTATTTCAGTGTTTAAAGTAGCATATACTAGCACTGTCCACCTGTTGGGCAGGTAGGGCATTTCCCAATATTTAAAATATGATACTGGACAGTCACACTAAAGCATGAAAATCTGCTGCTTAGCCATACAACCACCATTCACACAGGCAATGTATGAACAAATGTGTACTTGGAGCAGTTTCCAAAGGGGAGGGGGAGCTGCTGCTCTGAGCCAGACAGCAGCTGTAACAGTTAGGCGTGCATGAGGCTGCAGTGATACAAGTGCAGCAAAACCATTCTAACTTTAAGCCTCCATACAGTGTCAAAGCTGGGGTGAGTTAGTTCATTTATATCACTGCAGTTACATGTATAAAGCCACTGCATGGTACCCTCCTCCACCCCCAATCAATTTGTTTGGAGTTGCAATGAGATCAGCTTTGAGAACTAAAATAACTCGCCAGATACAATTCTTGTACATTTTGTGATTTTAATAAATAGATCCATCTGAAAAAAAAAATCTTCAGAACGATATGTCTGCTTCTAAAGAGAGAGATTTTTGCACAGCAACAGCTGAACTTAAAATCTTACTGGGCTTCTGGGAATTCTTCAATTATAAGAAAAGAGCTGTTAGTAGGAGATGCTTCTTGTGTTGGGGCAGTGTAAAATACTACCTTGCTGAAACCAATGTCTTGCAACACACAAAATACCAGAGTTCTCTATTACCCTCCCCAGCTAGGTACATGCACAAAAGTGGGGTACTATCCCAGTATGTACCACTAAGATATTGGGTTTTATTGAATACAAAACATGAATTATTGTTCCACTCTAAACAATCAATTAACAATGTCATGTCTTCAGTATAGTTATACCAAGGATGATTTATGTTCTGACTGTATGCCATGATACTTGGAGCCTTTGTTAATGTTTGCTCAGTGTCTGGACAAGTACAGCACACAGCTAATTGTTTAATCACAAGCATTGTATAACAAGTGCCTTTTTGAGTCTTACTATGGTTCAACAATCAAACTTTTGTAAAGAACATGGGACCACCATTTCTTTTACCTGTTCTTTGACTGAAGTGTGGACACTGGACAGACATTGCTGGCAGACAGCCAGAAAGGATTTCACAGTTTTCCTCAAAACCAGCAAATCCTCCTGAAATAAACATTAAAATAGGAATAACATTAAATAATAATAGTTTGTCAGGACAAGAAAAGAAAAAAAGAGGGGGCAGATAATTACATACCATTCAAGCCTATACCCTGCCAAGCAAAAATGGAGAGCCAATTAAATGAAAACACGGAGCAATCTAGGAAGGGATAGCCTTTTTGTTGCTTGTTGAACACTTAACACAATGGGACCCTGATCCTTGGCATGGGGCTGGCAATAAGTCATACATGTCATTTTAATAATAGACAATAACATACCACATATTCCTGGGATTTTATGAAATATAGATACCAGTTATAATTACCCAAATGTTTATATTTAGTTATACTTTGAAAATTTTTAATAGCAAAGTTAAACCTGTTTGGCAGATTTCCAGAATTTTGGACTGTTCATTCCGAATGAATATAAAAAGTCTGTTAAATACAAACAACAGTTGTTTACCCTGTCTGGAGAAAGCAAAGCATGGAAGCAAGCTTGCTCTGTAAAAAAAACTCAACACACTGAAACCTGCTGCAATACTATCCAGGAAGTAGAAATTAATGATTTGGGGAGCAGGGAGGTCTGGATGACTGGAGAAGCAAAGATTCTTTGGGAATACATGACAGGAAGATGAGTAGGTAAACTGATTGATCCAGGAAAACTGATGAACCTGAATTTGGATAACAGGACCAATAGATTCAGAAGGGCTCTGCACTTACACTGTGATGTTTCAACTTGTAACTTTTTAAAGACTCATTCAGGAATAACAAGGAAAGTCAGCAAAATACTTAAAAATGAAATCAAAACAAAGCACGGGATGCTGAAGCATAATGATAAGAATACAAAAAAATCCTATACAGGCGAAAAGGGAAGTGTACCCAACTTATTAACAAAGATACATGTTTAAAATGTACCCAGTCTTTTGGTTGTAGTTGAACATGCTTTTGCTTAAAACTGAACCCCCCACAACAATGTTCCCTCTAAGAAGCAGCGGTCCATGAGTGCGCTGCCTCGGTCCGGCATGGGACACTTACTGAAAGGGGCTGAGGGCCGGGGCCCACACAACAACAAAATAAAATCAAAACACTGACATTTCTAGGATTTGTTTTTGTTTTTTTTTAAATTATCTGAGAGCTTTTCTGTGAGAATTATATTCCAGACCTTTGCCAGCTAGTAATCTGTCAAATTTTCTGACATCATCCAGAGGTAACCCAAATAAATGGCAGATGGCCTGTTACTGCCATTAGAGAAGCAGGCTTCTCTGAGGCTCTCTATTTCCTACCACTGGTATATAATCATCTTCTTTACTGGAGGCTTATACAGAGAAGGTAGAAGCTCTTTCACAAACCTGGAATCACCACTAAAAGGAGCTTTCCCTTCCTAAAAGATGTCCCCTTTCCACCTTGACTTTACATAGGCTAAATAATTTAATTCAGTGATTCTTGCATTAAGCCTAATAACTTTTTGAACTATAGGCATGTACTTTGCAGAGGCATGGGTTCTTAATCAAAATAAATTAAATACAAGTTTAAATATGCAACTCTACCATGCTACTTGCTAAACTGTTCCAATTATTGATTACCCTTACAGTTAAAAGCATGATTATCTGGAGGTTTTTTGACTGAAGCTTTTTGTCAATGGATCGTATTAATGCTTTGTCTGCTAGAAAAATACCTAAAAGTGTCAGACATCTTTTGCATGGGTATGTCCATGATCAAATTTTTTCTTCACATTCTTTTAGATAAACCAAATATATTCTATTCCTTCATCATCTCTTTAAAAAGACAGGTTTGCAAGTCCACAAATTAATTTTAGGTAAACCTCTGAATCCTTTCCGGCTTTTCAATAGACTTTGGAAATGTGGTGTACAGATCTGGACACAATACTCCAAAAACAGTCTTATCAGTGTCATGTATCCAGGTCATATCACCTTCTTCCTCCTACTCAGTTTTCCTTGCTAATATAATCAGGGTGGACTAAGACAGCACTAGGCACCTCATTCCACTTATGTGTGGAACATAAAATTGTGGTAGCCCCTTTGGTCACCACATACCACTGAGAACTCATGTTAAGTTAGTGACAATGGTCCCTAATAGCCACTAACCGGCAGATCCTACTCCCCCTTTTAGATGCCAACATGGATTTAAGCACCCAAGTATAATCCTATTCCACCCTGTTTGAGTCCTTAAGAATCCATTAATGCATCTATTTTTGTAACATGCTGTCATCTTAGCCTTAAAATGAAACTGCAAAAAAGCAATGAGGAGAGGGAAGGCCCACCCACCTTTTGAATTAAGCTTTTAGGGATTCGAGCAGGATGGAATAGGGTTGTACACTGAAAAACACTCAGGCACCTAACAGATGGAACAGCATCTGGCTCCAAGTGCTTTTCTGAGTAACTGCTTTCCAAGACATCTGCATTCTTGTTCCTACATGCAACAGCTGAGAACAGATCCCTCTCTGATCTAACTAGAAGCAACTGCACTGCATGATGATTCCTCATGTATAACTAGCTTTTGATCTTTCGGGTTACCAGTTTTTCAGCCACTGAATGTGGATCATGCTGAGTTTATACATTCTGACTTATTTAATCAGCATGTTGTTCGGTTCTAATGTCTTAGAGGAGAGAATATTCGACTATATTATGTCAACATTCAATTTTATTAGCTAAATATGCAGTCTAGTTAAGAACAATAACAAAATTGTTTATTTTTCTTGAAAATCATATTAATTGGCACAAATTTTGTTTTTTTCCCTTTGACTCTACTGATCAAGTCCTGTAGCAGTCATGCCAAGCTTTTGCTTGCGATTCTTTTCATCCTGACATATCTGTTGTTACCTGGCTCTTCCTGTTTCCTTCTTTAAACACTGCCATGATACTGACTTCACTGAAGTCCTATCTTTTTTATTGTTCCATATTTATGGAGCCATATTTTTCTTTCATATGAATGCTCATAAGCTCAGTACAGGGCCTGAAGGCTATAACATTTTGTTTTTTGTTTTCTTTCCTGCCACTTTTCCAGTGGGGGAAAAAGGCATGACCCCCTCCCACCCACCCCATGCATAGAAGTCTACTCCCATCTCCAGTCTCATTTTCTGGCCACAAAATGCAAAAGGAAAAATAATGTCCGAGATTTTTATTATTATAATCATGTTTCCTCACCCAGGTTCTAGCCTGGGCGCTTGCTCCCAAACGGGCAGAAACTTTCCCACTGCTATCCATTCATTTTATTACATTACTATTAAATCTCAGGTGCAGCGCAGCAGCACCAAGGTTAGGCTGGATAAGGACCTGTATAACGCCTAACTTGTGGCTTTATGCTGGCAATACAAGTTCAAACATCTTGTTGAGGAGCTAAACCTGGGTCTCTTCCTGGGTGAGGGAGAGCCACTGCTTTTGTTTCAGCCTCCTCTATTTAATGTTTCCAGCAGGTGCGTGTGAAGAGCAATTCTATGTCTCCTTGTACTGGAACAGAATCCAAAACTCCGCGTATGTGCCACAAATGCCACCTATGTGGCCAGATAATTGCCCTTTAAGCATATAAAGTAAAATAGGATGCTGCCCTGTGCATCTTTTCCTTTCTGACTTATTTTGGTCCCAAGGTAGTTGCTTGACGAGTAGAATAATTTCATTCTGTCATCCCCCTCTTTGTGTACGTGAAGATCTATTCCAAGAACACCTAAATAAGGTTTGTAGATAGTTTTGAAAGCTGTGAAGTTGGTGACCTTTTCTGTCTCTCTGGGAATGAGTTCCACATTTAGGACTCTCTCCCTGGTCAATAGTTCCATAATTCTGGTGGAACACAGCTGCTACAGGAGATCATGGTCACAGAGGAAAAGGCAATCTCTTAAGTTATCCTGGGACAATGCCATGGAGGTTCTGAATAGTAAGACAAAGATCCTGAATTTGGCTCTGTATGTGAGAAGGAGTCAATGCAGAGGGTAGAGCACTTAGGCAATGTGTTCATAGCTGTCTGTATTACTCAACAGATGGGTTTTGGCACTTTTTTTTTTTTTTTTTTTTACTAACTGAAGCTTATTTTGTCTGTTTGACTTCATTACCACATTTAATGGGCCATAACAGTTAAACCTAAAAGATAATGATGGTATGCATTACTTTGGCAACACCTGGGTTGGACAGGATGGAACTAGATCACATAACTGAACTGAATAATTCCTAATGCTTTCTGGCCTGTGGTAGTTCCAACCCATGACAAAAGAACATTGGCAAAATCGTTTCCAAAAGGAGGGGAAGGCAGACAGCACCCCAAATCTGATGCCTTGCAGACACACAAGCAGGGAATGCTCCAGCTGGTCTCAACTCAACATGTTTATCTTTATCCAGCTTTCTGTTGCTGGCAATGCTGGGGTTTATGGAAAGATATGCAGAAATCACCAGATAAGTGGTGTTATCTCTGGCGCTGCAATGAAGAAAACATAATGCTCCTAATCATCTGATCAGGCAAAGTAAAACTCAGAGAATCTAAAGGTACATGCACACGTTACATTTTTAGAGCCCTTTCAAGTGCTAGAAAAAAAGTAACTGTGCACACATTCACCCTGTTTGGCTTGCCTCAAAAATGGCAGATCTGTCAAAAAATGTCCGCTTTCAAAGAGGAACTAACTTCTCTGTGGCACTGAGGGGAGCCCTCTCACAAGTAGCCAAAATCTGGCTGGCCGTCAGAACTTTGTAGCACTAATAATGAATGTGCAAACATACCTTATGTAATATCTGTGCCATTCTGGAGGTAAATGCAAACCACCATTAAAATAATAATAGTTCCACTCTTGTATTTTTAGTATCAGCATATAGACAGGGAAAATTCCAAGGATTAAAACAGAAAGATTAGAAGCTCCTAAAACCAAAATGTTAATTAGGGCTTCTAAGTATAGAATGAACTTATATTGCACATGATCTCTCAAAGAGCGACAGGAATGCAAACACTCTTTGATTTAAAGCAGTTAAACATATGAATTGGTACGTTAGACTAAAATTAAATTAAAACAAAATAAAAATTACAAGGAGAAAATCGTGGAAATTACTGGGAGTCCTTCACACTCCTTTTCCTGTTTCTTTTTAATGGAGAAACAGCATGGCATTCCCTCTTTGCAGCTGACTTGGAAGTACAAGCACTTCATATAGGTTTAATTCAGTGCAATGTTTTCTGAAAAGTCCTGAAAACAAGAAATCCCTAGGTTTTGCTTCAGCAAAAGAGTTAAGATAGGGGACAGAAACATAAAAGCACTGAACCATTCCAAAATGTCACTGGGTTGGGAAACATTTTGCAATTATTGCAGGACAGAGTACAGACAGACACTTAATAACTGAAACCATTCCCAAATATTACTGATTAGGACCTGGCACAAAATTGTATAAAGTGCTCTGGCTCCAACAGGAGGGCTAGGAGCACCCAGACCAGCATGCCTCACAGTGGATGAGTATGGGGGGAGTGCCTGCACCCACGCTTTGGGTGACCTGTGATCAGGAGAACTGTCTCTTCTCTCCTAAGCATGAGTTCAATACACATCAGTAACCTGAAACTGACAGAAATCTGCGGTGTGCTTGCCTGACTTGGGCTGGGCGAAATGCTTGGACTCATATTTTTTGGTTCCCTGGGGTTCTGGGGGGCAGGATGAGGGGCTATGGTCAAGTAGGGAGTGAGGATACAGTTCACTGTTAAAAAGATCACGTTTATTGGACAAGCAGGGCAAGGGGGCTCAAACAAAAGGGAAAAAATGGGCAGAAGAGTTCTGTCTGCATACCAGAGCAGCCAGTGCAGCAGTGGGGGTGAGGAGTCACTGCTGATGCCTAAAGTACCAACCAGACCCGTCTTACAGAACATTTGGTGCCCATGCATAAGTCTGAACCATTCACATTGAGCTAATTCAAAACGGTACTTGATTTTCCAGGTACAGTTTTGAACCATTCTGGTGGATTCAAACCAGTTCAACAGGCTTGTATTCTAACTACTTCAGGTTTGGAACATATACAAACATAAGAATTACCATTTACTGAGTCAGACCATAGGTCCATCATGCCCAGTATCCTGTGTCACACAGTGGCAGAGAGCAGATGCTGAAAGGGACAGTGAACTGGTATGACTCCATTTAAATCATTCTAAGTGTTGTGTGGCCCATGCCCATAAGGTGTAGGAAAAAAATGGAAGGGTGAGAGACTGACATATAATATAGCTGTAACGTACCCCCCACCCTATTACAACTGTAACTTCGACTGCTAGCAAATTTACAACTGCCCCTAGAACACTGAAGATAAAATTAAATGACAGGAAATATAAATTACATATCATTACATTTATACAATTATGTAAGCATTCCATGACCGGCAATGGTACAAATCAGTGTCATTGCCCAAACTGTCATGCATACTCATTCGGTATATATTGTATCCCTAACACAGGCCTCTGTGAACTTGATGAAGTGGATTACATGACTTCCCAATTCAAAAATCAACATAAAAAAGGGACACAGAGAATGAGGTCTGATGCATCTACTGTTTAAGCAAATTCAAATTCTTCAGGAACAGCTTCCTAGGCAGGAACAACCATTACTTACTTTTGAGGGAGAGCCTTCAGTGATCTTCACCAGCTGCCAGAGAATTGAATAATGGGAACACTGCAGTGCCTGAACAACTATCTGCAACAGAGGGAACACAAAGAATCCCAAAACACTGGAAACATCAGGGGCAAGTCTAAAATTTAGCTGAAAATCAGAAAAAGGCAATAATAGTTCCTACTTGGTGCTTCTCATTTTCAAAGATACAATCTTAACTATTGGCTAATTCAGTGAAATTAAGGAGCAGTTTTTACCTCCTCTGTTGGCAAAAGTCTGAATGCATGCAAAAACTTAGCAGAGAGATAGCTTTATCTGTAAGATCACAATGCTTCCTTAAATTTCCTATGGATTACAGGTAGGAGTAAGAAATTTAACCTGTGAATTTTTCTCAAAATAGTGCGTCAACCATTGCCTGATGCCTCTCCCATCCTGCACTACTCTGCTTAGCAGCAGCTGCAGGAAACAACAGAGGGTGACAGAGCTCAGAGCTGTCCTGCTTACAGCCCTGTCTTCCATGTGGACATAGAGTGGGGTATAGAAGTCAGCCTTCCACAAGGAGAACTGCAATGAGCAGTTCTGGCAAACTGGGGCCAAGAAATAGGGAATGAAGCTGTTGAGGAAGCAATTCCATCATCGCGTCTTTGAGCTTCTAACCTAACCCACCTTTGGAATATCGTTTTCCAAAGAACCTGCCCCCCCTTTGTGAATAATAGGAATTTCTCTTTCCATCGCTAGGGAATACTTGAACTAAATTTCCACTAAATTTCAGGTGGAATATTTTTTTCCTTGGGAAAAATTGGAGGGAGCGTTTAGCAGCAGGGTTTCTACTTCACAGTCACCTTACATGAGAATTCTATCCCAAGAAAAACACAGCTATTAAATAAAAACCTTTGCCACAAAACCTTAATGAAGTGAATACTTTCCTTCATATGTTAAAGTTATAGTTCATATTCTACATCATGGATATATGACCAACATTTTGCAGCTATTGTTCAAGGCAAGAAAAGATGGCTGAGATTTATGTTAGGTAGGAGAGCTGCGTTAGGAAAATTAATCAAAACTACTGCTCATATTTTGTTACTTCCTAGCTATTAAGAACACCCATGTTACCTCCAAAATAGAAGGCTAGTTTATGATAATTATAACTGTAATGAAGAATTATACCAGTATGGCCACTAATATAATCATAATCATATTTAATACTTACACAGGACTTTTCATAGTTGAGCATATAATATAATTTCCATTTTATAGCTTAGGAAGCTGAGACAGAGAAGGTAAGTGGCTTAGTTACAGTAGCACAATGAGTCTGCTTTAGAGCCAAGAACAGAATCCAAGTTTCCAACTCCCAGACCTGTCTCTCACCACAATAAAAGTTTAATTAAACCCCAAATTAATTTCATTGCATGACTAAAACGTATAATTTAAACAGTGGTCTTAGAAAATTAAAGGCTACTGCATAACCCTGTTCCTCCCTGTGATTTTCCTTTTACAAAGCTTAATTCCCCCAAGTGATACAATGCACATGTTGCTAACTGTACCTGTTCTGGCATAGCTCCATGCTCAATTCCAGTCCGCAGTAATCTGTAGCAGTTACTAAACAGATCCCATTTTGTGAGATCATGAGCACTAAAACAAGAGGTAATAAAGGCATTAGCTGTGTTCCTCAAAAATCCAAGTTACAACAGCTGGTAGCTCAATAAGCAGGCTGGTATTTGTTTGCAATGTTAAAACAAGAGAATGCTTTGAAAAGGCAGCTGCACAGTTCACAGAACAATAAAACCTGACCATGTGCTTTTTTGTAAACTAGGAAAATGTTTTACCACAAGAGATTTTTATAATGCAGAGATTAATTTAATTAACAATGACCTCTTTAAAAGGTTAAGTAGGAGTATCTGAACTATGGTCAATTTGTTGCTTTTTGATATTCATTCAAAATTGGTTTTCTTTTTTGATTCTAGACACTGACAGAACTTCAGCAGGCATTTCTCTGCCATTGTAACTTCAATTTAACTCCAATAAAATAGATTAAATGAAAAAAAA